TCTGTGAATGTGAGAGGTACCACCACCATTTCTTAGCTATGTTACCTGAACAGTTACTTAACCATCTGGACCCTCAAGTGTTTCCTCTCCAGAGTGTGCATAATAATTCTCACCTTGTAGATACTCTGCTGCAGGATAAATATAGATAACACATGCACAGTCTGCATCAGAGACCCTCTGAGATAATCTGGAGTTGGGGTACTCTGAGAAGCTATGCCAAGAGGACGTTAGATATATGTGATTATTAGTATAGGGGAAAGGGGGTGGGCGCTGTGGTGCAACAGGTTAACGCCCTGGCCTGAAGCACCAGTATCCCATATGAGTGCCAGTTCTAGTCCAGGCTGCTCCTCTTCCAATCCAGCTCTCTGCGATGGACTGGGAAAGCAGTGGAAGATGGCCCAAGTCCTTGGGCCCCTGCACCCACATGGGAAACCTGGGAGAAGCTCCTGGCTTTGGATCTGTGCAGCTCCGGCCGTTACGGCCAACTGGGGAGTGAACCAGCGGATGGACGACCTCTCTCTGTCTCTACCTCTCTCTGTAACTCTGTCTTAAAAATAAATAAATCCTTAGAATGGGGGGGGTGTTTGCAAGAGAAATTATGGAGAAACGAAAGAGAGAACTGAAAAGATACCAGTCTATGACACTTCTTTTTTTTTTTTTTTTTTCTATAATTTTTATTTTTTTATTTTTTTTTAATTTATTTAATGAGCATAAATTTCCAAAGTACAGCTTATGGACCACAATAGCCTCCCCCCCCCACCCGTGTCTTCCCTCCCATCCACAATGCTCCCCTCTCCCACTCCCTCTTCCCTTCCCTTTCACATCACAATTAATTTTCAATTATCTTTATATACAGAAGATCAATTTAGCGTATGTTAAGTAAAGATTACCACATTTTGCTCCCACACAGAAACATAAAGTGTAAAATACTATTTGAGTACTAGTTATAGCATTAATTAAACACCTAAGAGTAATTGTGTATTAATTACATAGCTCAACCAATAGTTTTAAGTAGAATATAAAATGCATCTTTTGCATTGTTGTGGCTTCCCCCCAACCTCCCTCCCTCCCATGGCCCTCCCCTCACCCACTTCCTCTCCCCTCTCCCCCCTTCATCACGTTTCATTTTCGGTTACCTTCATATACCGAAGATCAATTTAGTCTATACTAAGCAGGGATTTCAACAGGTTGCACTCACACAACCGAACCAGGTATAGGGTATTGTTCGACTAGTAGTGTTGTTTTTGAGTTTCATAGATAAACATATTAAGGACAGAGATCCTGCGAGGGGAGCATGAACCCAGTGACTCCGTTGTTGATTTAACAATTGGCACTCTTATTTATGACGTCAGCAATCACCCGAGACTCTTGCTATGAGCTGTCTAGGCTATGGAGGCCCCTTGAGTTCACCAACTCTGTATTTGTTTAGTCAAGGCCATATCACAGTGGAGGTTCCTTCCTCCCTTCAGAGAAAGGCGCCTCTCTCCTTGATGGCCTGATCCTTCTGCTGGAGTGTTGTTCGCCAGGATCCTTCATTTAGATTGTTTTTTTGCCACCGTGTCATGGCTTTCCATGCCTGCGAGACTCTCATGGACCTTTTAGTCAGATCCGAATGTATGACACTTCTTTATTCCCAGATACAATGAGATTGGAGAAAGGATGATTGGGTGCAAGCATGTGAGAAAGAATTGCAGTTCAAAAGAATTTGGAACACCTGGGGAATCCTTAATCCGACACGGCCTGTCCTGGGAGTCCCTGGCCTCATGAGAGTGACTTGTCTTATTGTCCCTACCATGGTCAGTGACTGCTGGTAGGAAACTATACAAAGCATGGCCTTGGTGCCAATGTGATAAAGCGTTTAGAGTGCAGCAGTGAAGCTCATTGATCAGGTATCTTTTCTGCAGATGAAGATCTCAGAGACACATTTGCATGGTGGTCACACTCTGCCCCTTTTCTAGCACAGACCTGTTTTCCAGAGAGCATCTCTTCCGTGGTTCCATGGACTTCTCTTCCATAATGGGTAAAGCTACTGCCTGTAGTGCTGGCATCCCATATGGGCACCAATTCAAGTCCCGGCTGCTCCACTTTCAATCCAGCTCTCTGCTATGGCCTGGGAAAGCAGTAGAAGATGGCCCAAGTCTTTGGGCCCCTGCACTCATGTGGGAGACCCAGAGAAAGCTCCCGGCTCCTGGCTTTAGATCAGCCCATCTCTGGCCTTTGCAGCCACTTGGGGAGTGAACCAGCAGATGGAAGACCTCTCTCCTCTCTCTTCTGCCCCACCCCCCTTGCCTCTTCTCTGTAACTTTACCTTTCAAATAAATAAATAAATCTTTAAAACAATACTATATCAGGGCTGTAGTGTTTGGAGTGTAAGCCTTAAAAAGGAAAGGTGGCATTCTTTAAATTGTGCTCAGAATATTTACGTGTCAATGCCAAGAAAATGCATGACTTACATTAATGTTTTAGATGTAACACCTCTGAACTGGCCCTAATTGTCTTAAGAAGTCTGCCTCCCTTTGATCATCTCAAACATCCAGATTAACAAATATAGTAGTAATGAGGAAGTCATTTGAGATTATGACTCATCTGGTTGTATGGTATAAACTCTATGGTAAAGTTCACAGCCTAAATGGAACTCATGTTGATGTAGGTAGATTTCACCAATCAATCGAGTACTAGTACTATCATGTATGACTAAAACCATGAAGGGAACAATAGTTAAGATGAAAACAATTCAACAATTCTAGACAAAATTTGAAGCGATACTTCCTACTTTAAAGATAAATGCTAAAGATGAATTTACAGTTACGTTTAGAGACTTAATTATCTGGGTCAAGTTTTAAGTTAACTTATTAACAGGAAGTCATATTTCTACATACAAATTTACCTGAAAATAAAAGTGATTAAGTAACAGATTCTATAAATGACTTCACAGGTCAAATAACTTATTAAGTTGCTGTAAAACTAATGAATTGATTTAATTTATTCTTTTCATAGTAACATATAAAAGTCAGTGCTAAGTGTAGTTAAGACTATTTTTAGATAAGTGCGAAAGAAGAAAATAGAACTAATTGATAATAGCATTGGGGAAAAGGCACATTGTGAAATAAATCATAATTTAAGTAAATGTGAATTACCATTATCATTGCATACTGAAACCATTTCATGATTCATACTAGCTATATTAGGACTTCTTATTTTGGGACAAAGATGTCCTTAAAGAGAATACTCAGTATTCTTATCAGCAGTAAGACATGTTACAAAAAGTAAACTAATGAATCTCCATTAATACATGAGTGCAAATGATACTTGTTATTCTTTTAGTGTTGTTTATTACCAGTGAGGATAGCTTCCAAAAATTATTCAGCATTTTTACCTTTTTTGTTTGTGTGTGATTTTGGTTACCCTCTATTTCTTCTTCATTATTTTATGATTTCATTTTTTTCAATATTTGTTAAGTTTTAATGCAGTGGCTATGTTAGCCAGACATTACAGTTGAAAATATTTTTTCTATGATTTTCCTATAATTGTTTTTGAGTTAAGTGAGTTAATTAAGGTGATAGATGGCCCTTGGATCTTTTGCCTGTAGTGATCCAATTATTTCTCTGAGCACTGATGTTCAGAGTCCTTGAGTACTTTATTTCTCTCTCTGCACATAATTATTGGTGCTTCTCGGGAACCTTTATTATAGGCTTTTCCTGTGGAGAAATAAACTACACCGACCTCAAGCTGTGACCAATCGCTGATGACCCTCACATGTGGATTATCAGCCCAGATCCTGTGCGCCAGCCAGGTCCCTGCAAATTGCCATCTGGGTTTCTCCACTCACCTCGAATAAGAGAAGCCCTGAATTACACCTGGTAGCTTCGCCTCCATACACTTGCTTACTTGATGATAATAGACACAGCCGTCCAGTGTGATGGGCTTGAACTCCTTTGCTCTCGACTGCTGCCCCCCGCCACTCCTGTGCCAGACACATCTCAAACTGGCCGAATCATCTTCTTTCCCACTGCAGCAGCACTTACTCAAGTGCCAGTGACTATCACAGAGGGACTGGTTTCTTTCCAGTCATTAAGAATTATCTTTGTAAAATTCCTCTTCTGTTCATTTTTTTTTTCCATTGACCAAATCTAAATGCCCCTTGGAAAAATGTAACCAATTCAGCTGTTAAAGATATATCCATTCTAAGATATCAGAAATATGTTCACTGATATTGGTTTTTGGTGTCTCTCAAATATTGGAGATTTTAGTTTGAATAAGACATGAATTGTGAAGCATCCTGTGCAGTTCTCTTCTGGAGTTAGATATTTTGATAGTAACAGCCACATTACAACCATTTCCAATACAACAGCATCACAACTAGACCGATGCACACATATGTGGTTATGGTTAAAATCAATGACATTTGTAATGCTTATGCTACTAGACAGTCATTCAGAATTCCCGACAGAATCAGCAGATGATAATAAACAGTCAAAGCTTGATATTATTAAATGATACATGAGACAGTTATGCTAATTTAGCCTTTGACTTATCCATCATTTACCATCCACAAGTCTCTTTTGAAGTAAAATTGCAGTTCTATTACTTTAAAAAATGTTGCTCTGCACATATTTTTCATTAAAAAGACATTAACTTTTGGGAGAAATCACTAGAAAATTTAATCTCTGTTTGATTCCAGAATGCAAGGATAAATAAAACATGAACTGTATATTTTTATGTCAATTAATTTTACAAATTACCCTTTGCCAACATTTTCAATAAAAATGATTGCCATTTATTTTACTTCTAAAATATGTGAAGAAAGCTTTGCTTTTCATGTAGTGATAGTGTGTTTTTAATGTTGTTTTATTTTGCAGCTAGTAGAAGTGGAAAGATAGTGATGCCCATGATTTTGCAAGAGTATGGATAAGAGAGAATGAAAATGGACCGTGGAAAGATTCAGACTACTCTGTTAGATGTGCAGTGTTGAGGTTCTGATTTTGCTTTGCCTTCTGCAGGTGATTAAAGCAGTAGAGGAAGGCTACCGTCTGCCAAGCCCCATGGACTGCCCTGCTGCTCTCTATCAACTAATGCTGGACTGCTGGCAGAAGGACCGAAATAGTAGGCCCAAGTTTGATGAAATAGTCAACATGCTGGACAAGCTGATACGCAACCCAAGTAGTCTGAAGACATTGGTTAATGCATCAAGCAGGTACAAAGCCAGGCATGAGCATTTTTCCTGAAAATAACTAATTCAGATTAATGCCACAAATATGTCATCAATTAATTCCTTTTTGTATACATGCTAATCTGAGTATATATGATGGTAATTTATTTGCATATGACTTTTTGTATAATGTTACTATCTTATAGTGAGTGAAATAAAAGTGAATAAGATATACTTAAAAGCAACTGTCACCTAATCTAATAGTACACTGTAACATGCTAGTTTCAGAAATATGTGAGCTGGAGCCATAGTGAGGTAGCATAAAAATAAAACTCTTACCTTTATGTATCTTCCTGTACATTGAAGGATAGATGTGAATGGAGGAGACAACTTTATATGACCAATAAGCAAAGGCAATTAAGCACTGATAAATTTTAAGTTAGAAATATCATACAGAGGCTGATGCTGTGGTGTAGTTGGCTAAGCCTCTGCCTGCGGCACTGGTAGCCCATTGGGTGCTGGTTCATGTCCTGGCTGTTCCTTTTATGATCCAGCTCTCTGCTACGGCCTGGGAAAGAGTAGAGGATGGCCCAAGTGCTTGGGCTCCTGCACCCATGTGGGAGAATAGAGGGAGCTCCTGGCTCCTGGCTTCGTATCGGCCAAGCTCTAGCCATTGCAACCATTTGGGGAGTGAGCCAGTGGGTGGAAGACCTTTCTGTCTCTCCATCTTTCTGTAACTCTAACACTCAAATAATAAACAGAATCTTAAAAAAATCAAACTAATTACTCTTTGATTTCTTCAGAATGTACTTCAGTTCTTGTCATTTACTTATGACATCATTTTAGTGTTCATATTTTATGAAAATTGACAACTTTGGAGACTCTTTGGCACTTAACCCAGTTGTAAGAGATACTCAGTTAATCACTTAATAAGAGCTTAATATAGACTTAAAACTGATAAGTGAGTTATGGATAAAAGTTATGAGCAAGTAACCATATTTTTTACTTTTCTGCATAATACTTAAATGAATTTAAATAATGTTTCATACTTATAAAACATGTTTTTCTGTTTATCTGAGTAGAATTATCCTCTCAAAAAATGAATTCATTTGATTCCATGCAAGAAACGTTCCTTATACATGAGGCAGTTGTATATTTATATAGAAAGAATGTTGTGGCAGTGTCTGAATTGGCTGCCTATTAGCATTAACTAAATGAGAAACAATTTGTTGATAAAGTTACATAAGTTCTATGATTTTGACATAACACTTGTTTACTAGGCAAAAGTCATTTTAAATACAAATGAGGAATGAATCTTCACACTCTGTTCAGGCATCATTAACTTTCTCTAGCAGCAACTGCAAAATCCATCTTCTTAGCAATTGTCCCTTACATTGTTCCCTGAGTATCTGTTTTTAAGTTGTTTATAAAATATTAGACCTTGCTTTCATTTGTTTGTTTGAATTAGTTATGCTGTCACAAATGGACATAAGGAAATGAAATATTAAAAGGAAATGCTCAATGTTCTGAAATTGCATTAATTTACATGAGCATTATTATAGTAGTTAAGAGCAGCTTAAAATCCTCTAAAGATTTTTGTGTTTCCTTGTGTGCACTCTGTAGGACTGAGTTTGCTTGGTTTTATTTAAACAAATGTAGCTTTAGGCCATAGCATTAACTACCCTCCTTTATTGAATCATTTGCAAAGCCAAATTCTAGAAGATATTCATTCTTTATTCATTGTCATATTTGCACTCCATCCCTATCCTGTTACAAGATTTGATGGTTTCAGTGTTCATGTAGGTGATACTTATGTATCTCTCAATACCTTGAAAATTTCTTCAGTCATTTTGTTCTCTAACCTTTCTTGAACTGTCATTGCCATGATCATACTATAGACCCTGCTATTGCAAAAGAAAATTGCAACTCTTCCATAATTTCACCTTCAATGATTCTACCTTCTAAATATTTTTTCTTACACTTTGATCTCTAAAAATTCTTGAATTCCATTGCTTAATGACTAAAAATTATGAGAATATGTTCATTTATTCACTAATATTTCAACTCGGTGTCATATTGTATGCTATGTGCCTAGTATATAACATTAAGCTAATAGTCCTATTTATCTGTCTTTATGGAGTCCACAAAATAAAAACAAACCTCAAAAGAAAACTTGTGTTTGGTTTTGGAATGGGATTGAGAATAGAATTCAAGAAGATGACTAGGAGACTTGAACTATTGTGTAGGTGAACATGGTGCTGTCTTGGAAATAGTGGTGATAAATGAGATAAAGAAATAGGTGTGACATCTACTGGAAGTAGAATGGATAGTATGCACCATGATAGATTATGCTGAGAATGAGGGCAGCCAAAGTGGACACTTGCATCATACTCTATTACGGGGAGCACTTCAGGAGAAGTGGAATGGGAGAAGGTACAGAATTTAGCTTGGCCATGTTGGGTGATATTCCTAAGAGAATGGAGGAGGAAAAAAGTAGGTGTAAGAATATGTATTCTAGTGTATATATAAAATTTGAAAAATTAGATTTCTATTTGAAGCCTTCAAAATAGGTAAAGTCATCCAAACAAGAGTTGAATGATAGCCTGAGTACAGAAGATGTAGGGCCAAGTCATGGTTCCCTCCTGATTTTAAAATAAGAAATAACAGGCAAAGAACAGTCAAGAGAATCCAAGTACACATGAGGTCCTGGTAGCCAGAAAAAAAAAAAAAAAAAAGAGAGAAAATAGTGGTTCAAAAACTGTTGAGATATAGTATGATCTCTGTTTTCCTTTAACTTTGTTTTGGAATAGTTTTAAATTTACAAAACAAAAATTGTGAGGTAGTGCAGAGTTCCCATATACCCCACACCCAGCTTGCTATATTGTTATCCACTTACATTAGTAAGATTTATTTGTAACAATCTATAAACCGCATTTCAAGAGACGGATGATAGGGGCTGGCATTATGGCATAGCAGGTTAAGCCACGGCTTAGGATGCTGGTATCCCCGATCGGAGTGCTTAAGTGTGTACTGGCCACCTTCTTGGCAACAAGCCTAGAAAGGCAGTAGAAGATGCCACAGCACTGAGGCCCCATCACTCATGTGGGAGACCAGAACGGAGTTCCTGTCCCAGACCTGTTTGGTGAGGCTCTTTGAACCAGCAGATGGAAGATATATATCTCTCTCTACCTGTCTCTCTCTCGCTGTTTCTCTCTCTCTCTCATTTTTCCCTCCCTCTTTCTCTGACATTCTGGTTTTTAAATAAATAAATAAATAACTTTTTGGAGAGGCAAGTGGTTATGTGGTAGTTTAATATTTCTTTCTTTTTTTTTTTTTTTTTACAGGCAGAGTGGATAGTGAGAGAGAGAGACAGAGAGAGAAAGGTCTTCCTTTGCCGTTGGTTCACCCTCCAATGGCCGCCACGGCCGGCGCGCTGCGGCCGGCACACCGCGCTGATCCGATGGCAGGAGCCAGGAGCCAGGTGCTTTTCCTGGTCTCCCATGGGGTGCAGGGCCCAAGCACCTGGGCCATCCTCCACTGCACTCCCTGGCCACAGCAGAGGGCTGGCCTGGAAGAGGGGCAACCGGGACAGAATCCGGCGCCCCGACCGGGACTAGAACCCGGTGTGCCGGCGCCGCTAGGCGGAGGATTAGCCTAGTGAGCCGCGGCGCCGGCTAAGGTAGTTTAATATTTCTAAGAGATCAGGCACTTATAGATTGAATTTTGTCCATGGATTTTGGCAACATAGAGATCATAGCTACCTGAGAGAAATTTTCATATAATTGAATTTGAAAAAATTACAAGTAGGTTGTAGTATAAATGGAATGTGAGGAAGTGCTGAAAGCTTATGTAGAAAAAAAAATATTTGTGTCTTGCACCTTACAGTTGAAATTTACTTAAGTAACTTCCTGTTTATGGACCTGCATTTTTTTATGTTTTGATACATGTACCTTTTACCATTTTTCTTCATTACTTCATTAAGATACGTTTCTACAAATCACCACCACCACCACCATCATCATGTTATTATCATTATTGGCCAAAAAATTTGAACTTAATATAGTTAAAAGTATCTTATGGTATATTTGGGTTTACATTTTGTTTTCCAGGTTTTACTACTTCTAGGTGAATAATTAAGCTTCCTTATGTAAGAGCATGAGTAAAGGATAAATAATTTCTGGACTTCCTGAGAAATGAGCTTAAATTAACATGAGTTCCTCTAGCAAAGTTTAGAAACAATTTGATTTACAGGAATAACTCCAAATATATCTAATGATTATCATTTCCTATGTTATTTTAATAAACAGAAAAGTAGTAGAAAATACTCACAGATAAATTTCTTTACCTGAAACAATTTTAGTATACCACTTTTGAACACAATTTTAGGTTAGATTCTCAGCCAAACTGAGTGAAAAGTACCTCATACCACACAGTCTTCACTTCTTCAATTGCATTAACAACCACCCCTTGAATGGCATATTTATTATAGCTTGATGGACCTACATGGACTTATCATTCACAATCCACAGTTTCACTAGGGTTCATTCCTGGTGTTATACATATTGTAGGATTGAAAAAAATTATAATGAGATGGCAACTACCATTATGGTGGCTTAGAGTAGTTTTATTGCCCTCCTGTCTATGTGTTTATACTATATAAAATCTTTAGCTGTTATTTTACTTTGTAGAAAAGTTACTTGTTAAAAGTCCTCATTAATTATGGGTAAAATCTCTGTGGACTGATTTTGTATCATCATGTCTATTGGATCATTTTCTTTCATGTTTACACTTGTATATTTTTGCCCGGCAAGTATACTTAAAGACTCAAATAGCAATTGAAAATTAGTTAACTTTATAATAAATGTTGCTGTAAAAGAGTTAAAGTATTGCTTCTAACATTTATGTTTTCTGTGTTTTAGAGTATCTAATTTATTGGCAGAACATGTCCCACTAGGATCGGGGGCCTACAGATCAGTAGGTGAATGGCTAGAAGCAATCAAGATGGGCCGGTATACAGAGATTTTCATGGAAAATGGATACAGTTCTATGGACGCTGTGGCTCAGGTGACCTTGGAGTGAGTAATTTTTCTGATAATTTTTACATAATTGCTAGGGCAAAGAAAAATGTTCAGAAACCAATCTGGATGAGGTCAAGGTATGAAATCAGTTAATCTTTGTCCCTGTGTGGCAGCTTTCAAAGATGCCTCATCTTTTTTAGCCCGTGTTGTTAACAACTGCATGGTTAATGCTTCTGTGCCGGTATCTTTGCCTCTGTGCTTCAAACAAATAGCACTTGAGTATTTGAAAAATTGGACTCACAGATCCTTGGCAAGATACTGGTATTTTGTGTTGTGGAAAAGATGTTTTCTTGACAAGTTTTTATACTGATAGCTATGTTTATGAATGTAAATATGAAACGAAACAAACTGTAAGCACAATTGGTGTGGCTAATCCTACCTAACAACCAAACTTTCATAAATTTTGGCTCTCTTCATATACCACCCAGGCAACTACAGCTTAAAGAAAGTGTTCCTGGCAGGAATCCCACTTAACCTCTGAATGGTGCACCTTATATTCTTACAATCTAAGGATATATGCAGTCCTGCCTCTGATTTGTTATTTGTTACAATCTCAGTGGAACCAATTGTGCCCTTTTCTGTTTGCACGTTTAAGATAAAGTTTATCAAATCTTATCAAATGAAAATCACTAGAGTTAAATATTAAATTCTTTAAGGTTGTACATTGTTTGTATTTTATTAAATACTCTGTATGTGTAATTATTTTAGCCTAATTGTTATTTGTGAAAATTAACTGTCCTTATGGTGGTTCCATCTAGATCACATTAACATTAATAAGGTTTTAACCTGTGACTATAACAATTACTTCGAATTACCTGCAAATTGAAAGGTTAACATATTGTTGTGAGGATTAGAAAATGATAGGATATTCTGAAGCACTAAGCCACATTCCTTATTACACTGCTTCACATAATACGAATATTAAGCAATCACTCTCACCATCTCTTTGATTCTGGCATTCTTTAATTCATTGAGTTCATTGCTCATCTCCACAAAAGGTAACAGGGTACCACCATTTATCACCCATTAAAGTCACCCTCTCAGCATTCTCTTCCTTCATACCACTAGCTAAGAGGACCTGAAGTCAACCAGCGCTCAGCTTGCAATCTTAATTTATTGAACCCCATTCTCACTGTCACCACCAAATCATATCTACTTGACTGCAAATATGCTTTGCTCATTATTTCTTTGGACACTCAAGGAACTCATTTGTGCTATATTTAAAATAGTGTACTGAAAATTGACTGATAATTTAAAAATATTTTTACATGATTGCTATTTAATTTTTCAGTAAAAATGGTCATTTTAATTTATTAAAGTCATTTGTCATTTTATATTAAAATGATACTGTAGGTATTTCTTCTACCCAATGTCAGTTTACTTGTAAATATGCAATAAAATTATTTGCATTAAACAAAGCCTCTTTTTTATTCAAATAGCACATTCATTATAGTCACATCTTCTACATTTTAGCTTCTTCATAGAATAATTATAAAGAATGTTCTCTGTATTAATTATCTATTTTACTTAATCTCTGGGGGGGGCCCAAAATACCACAAATAAACTAAATATTTTAGCATTATGATTTCACTTTTTCTTATTCCTTTCATTCTTTTGTATTTACTTTACTGTCTGCATTGCTGTCCCCAAATTCTCCTCATTTTCTGTGTTTTCTTTCAATCAGTAACAGGACAACTTCTTCTGTCTTCTTACAAGATGTTTCTTCCCAGCTTATTGCCTTTAGCTGTATTACATTCTTGGAAATATTTTTGTGTTTTAATCATTTTACTTGAAGACAGTAAAGTGACATAAGCAGCTTTACACATTTAAGTTCTTCCTGTTCAGAGAATGTTCATCCACTTGAGTCAATTGTTTCAAAATCCTGGAGCCTATGATCATGAACATATTCCTGACTAAGAATTGAAACAAAAAGCCATAACTCTGGTGAAGCTAATGTCTTGCAGAGTTCAACAGTTGTCCACTGTGTTTTTGACTGCATTTTTTGTAATTCATAAAAAAAAATTACTGAAATATGAAATTATTCACAAAATAGGGATTAATCAGTTACTTGGTTGTTCAAGAATTAAAAAAAACTACACTTTTTACTTGTTTTTCCTCCCAAAAAAAGAGAAAAAAGACAACTCTGCTACAGGCTAGTAACAGGGAACTGGGATTATCAGCAAAAGACAAAGACAACTCTCAAAACACCCGGTCAAATTTTTCACTCAACTATATAAATAATAATTTAATGAAGCCTCATATATAATAGTATAACATAATATTGTTCCTAGAGTTATTGCCATGACATGGCAGAAATATAATGAAAGAATGCATTCATAGCTGTTACCACTGTGTAGAGAAAGGTATAAAAATCAATCCTTATAAAGCAGCAGCAGATAACCAAACTGCCATAAATTAACTAAAAATTTGTTATAATTTGGACATCAAATTTGTTTCAGTGGTGGGTTTAGAAATATAAAAGTAAAATGTTAGTTTTCTTTAATCATATGCTTTGGTTAAAAATTTATTTCATGGAGGTTTGACTTGTTTATGAATTGTTTGCCAGTACATACCTGTATGGGTTAATGGGGAAAGGAAATGAAGAACTTAGAGAGATTTTGAAGTCAAAACATGTTCAATGAAAATGCCTCTCAACCTTATATGTTTCTGTCTGCTTTGTTCTCCATGCTGAAATCTTGCTGCTCTGTGTGTAGAATTCATCCTAGAATGATGGTTGTGGCAGTAATGGTACAAATTGTATGCTCATGTATATGTGCAGTGAGTTATTGTCAACAGGGTGAATTTTGAGCTACAAATTGAATCTGACGTTCTCAGTTAAGAACAGAATAACAGCTGCTTAAAGCATTATTGTCAGTACTGTCAACTTTTGATTATTCAGAAAATTAGCAAAATCCAATTAATTTAAATTTCGTATAAATGGAAGAGATTCCTGTCACTTTCAATGCAAGGGAATCTTAAACTACTAAAATGAAAGTTTTCCAAATCTAGAGCCAATATTTATTTGACTAACTCAATTAGATTTACTAATTTACCAATAAATATTATGCATAATTTGTTATTTGCTTAAAGTACACATAGGAGAATTTACTGTCCTTTTTTGTTCTACATAATTATTCTAAAATTCCACATTTACCCCTCATAGTAGCTTACCTGTTGTGAAAAATATTAATGAGCTGTTGTTAAATCTCCTGTTGCCAAAGGCAGATATGTTTATTTGTATAATCACTGTAAAAACTGGTAATAGAATTTTCCTAAGTTAATCAAAATAGGACAAACATACAACTGCATGGCAGAAAGAGGACAAAAGCAATACACACTGAAAGTGAGTGAATCTTCGTTGAACTTTCTTCTCCCTTCTCCTGTCCAGTTGATGCTGGGGGGCTTAGTTCCAGTGATGTGGCTGAAAAGTGTGTAAAGCAGAAGGGAGAAGGATGAGCAAGGAGCCATCCACAATCAGATGAGTTCAATCCTGAATAATCAAGAGTTGACTCCAACATCAAACAGACACAGCTTATTCTCTGTTTTTTAATTCCTCCAGTTTAGCATTATAATATGCTGAAACAGTGTTTTTATTCCCATATTTAATACTGTGGAATCATGTTTGAAAAAATGTTGGAATGTAATCCCCCAAATTGCAACTCTTATATTTTTGACTCATAAAACTAGTCATGCTTTATCCACAAAATTAAACTATGTTTATGTGCCAAATATATTTTTGCTATGTTTCAAGTCATAAGCCTATGTTGAAATGCAGTTTATCATTAGAATTTGCCTTGGGTATTGCATAAGATTACACGTGGTCATGATTAAAGTAACAAAATATTTAAAAGAGGAAACATTTAAAACTAATTACCAAGAAATTTCCTTCTATAGAAAGTGGAAATGAGAAAAATAGTGTATCACATCATTTCCAGATTTTTAAAACAGCATTATAAATAAGTCAGCAACTTCATCATTAAATGTTAAAACATTTTATTTTATCAAATATCTGATATTTTATTGCCAATTTGACCATCTCAGGTAATATAATTCAGGTAATACAATGAGAATTGTTGGAAATACAAAAGTGGAAGATAAAAGTATGTAAAATACTTTAATTCATTGACCAATATTGGATTAAAGTTATCCTTTACCATATATTTTTCTAATGCCATTTTAGCTCTCAAATGTAATACCATTAGAAAAACAGTAAAATGGATTGTTTTAAGGCAACTGTTTTACTATTGATACTGTTTAAATTGCATAGTCTTATTTCTCCTTTGCTTTTTCTCTGAAAGCCACATTGTATAGAGATATTTGTATATTGCATGCATTGTAAACATGCTATTTCTAAATCTCTGCACATTAATTGGACAGCTCTTGAAATAACAGGTCAGATTTAGAGAAAAACAGCATTTCATTACAGACACATCATTTATGGCAGTGTGTAAAATGCAGTGCTTTGTTTTCATACCTTCCATGGGGAGAGGAAGTGAAAAGGAGGGAGAGAGAGCAAAAGAAAAAAGTGGAGCAGAGTAATTGATATTGATAGAAAATTGTACATGATTAGTTCACTGAGGAAATTCAAAACAAATTTAACTTAATAGCTACATATATGAAATGTTCTAAGGTAGTATAAAGGTCATTTTTACATAAACACTAATTCTATATCTGCATTGATTAACCAAATACAATTCCTCAAAACAGTATTCTTTAGCATGATATAAGCATCGTGGTAAATTTGGTCATTCTTGTGGTTAAATGATTTCTAGAGGATGAAATAATATTTATATCTAATTGCTATAAAACAAGTTCAGGTATAGAAATAAAAATAAGTCAAACCAGAGACTTGATATCATTTATAGACCAACAATCTGTAGTTGGAATAGGGATGGGCATTGTGGCATAGCAAGTTAAATCTCATCTCGGGACACTGTATCTCACATTGGATTGCCTAGTTCCAATCCATACTACATTGTTTTCCATCCAGTCTTCTGCTGTTGTTCAAACTGGGAAGGCAGTAAGTGAGAGCTTAGATACTGCCCGGTCAGCCATAGGGGAGATCAGGGTGGAGTCCTGGCTTTGGCCTGGCCAAGTCCTGGCTTTGGAGGCATCTGGGGAGTGAACCAGCAGATGGAAGATTTGGTTCTGTCTTTGCCTCTCTCTCTTTCTCTCTTTCTCTCTTTCTCTCTGTCTCTCTGTCTCTGTCTCTCTCAACCCTCTTTCTTCCTCACTGCTTCTTTCTCCCCTCCCTCCCTCCCACTCTCTCTCTGTTCCCTCTTGGCTTTCAAGTAAATACATGAATATATAAACTGAAATAATGTACTGATAAAGCAGACTTGGAATATGGAATACATACACATACATACACATGCTCACACATTAAATGGGATATTTGTTTTTATATGAAAAGTCTGTGTTGTTAGAGAGAGGAAATCTATAAACTCTTTATGCTCAGGTCATGAAGAATAAACTAATACTCATTCTCAAATATCACTCCTAATACACATAGCAATTATGAAGAGTGAATAATTCACTTAGTCTGCGGTTGCTTAGCTGCATTTCCCAATCTGGGTTTGTGAGTATCAACCATGGGTTTAAAAATGTTTATATCATACAAATATATTTTAAAACTTCCTTTCTTTTTTAAGTAAATAAGACTTTAGGGTAGGTCAGAGGGTGGAGGTTGAGCCTGCCCAGACAGAGGGCAGGGGGTTTGAAATCAGGCTTATTCTTTTTTCTACATTTTTCTTAATTTATTTAATCTAATTTAATTTTAATTTTTTATTTATATAGGGTAAATGCATTTTATGTATTTCATATATACAGATTTAGGAGCATAGTATTTCTAATCCAAATTTTCTGCCAGTGAATTATTTTCAGGTTCAGAAATTTAAAATTTTAGGTTTTCTTTTCCCTCCTGGGTTTGAACCATGAGCACCCATGAGTATTCACGTCTACACAGTTCTACACGACACATAAGTGGAAATATGAGAATGTTAAATAGCCCATAATGGAAACTGATAAGTATAAATTTGATTATCATAGTGTTTATCAAAGAAATACCAAGAGTCTTCTAAAAGCTCATGGATAATACATGTTATGAAAACTTTCCATGGATTTTAGAACTTTTTGTGCCAAAATACTTTTATATGTTAATTCCACTTTTTAAAATATTTATATTTTATTTATTTTAGTCTATTTGGAAGGCAGAGTGGCAGAGAGGCAAAGAAAAGAGAGAGGGACCCTTTTTCTGCTGTTTCACTCCCCAAGTGCCCACAGCAGCCAAGGCTGGGCCAGGCCAAAGCCAGGAGCCCAGAACTGCATGCAAGTCTCCCACATGAGTGGCGGTGACCCATGTACATGGGCCATGATCCCCTGCTTCGCAAAATGCATTAGCAGGAAGCTGGATTGTACACAGAGGTACCCAAACTCGAACAAGCACTCCCTTTTGGGATGCCGATGTCACAAGCTGTGCCTTATTCTGCCCAATAATACCCACCTCTAATTTATTTTTCCACTGATTTATGAGATTCCCTCATCTGCATTTGGTTCTCTTTATTCAATATTCTCTTCATTTGATAAACTTGAATATTTGATGTTACATCTATAGTTCTCATTTTTTTTTACAAGATTTATTTATTTGAAAGAGTTAGAGAGAGTGGTAGAGACAAAGAGAGAGAGAGTTCTTCCATCCACTGGTTCACTCCCCAGATGGCTGCAATGACTGGAGCTATGCTGATCCAAAGCCAGGAGCCAGGAGCTTCTTCCTGGTCTCCCATGAGGGTGCAGGAGCCCAAGCACTTGGGCCATCGTCTACTGCTTTCCCAAGCCACAGCAGAGAGCTGGATCGGAAGTAGAGCAGCTGGGACTAGAACCAGCGCCCGTAGGGGATTCCAGCACTAAAGGCCAGGGCTTTAACCTGCTGTGCTGCAGTGCCGGCCCCAATATAGTTCTCATTTTACAAATGAATAAATTGTTACAGTAGTATGAAGTGCTTGTCTCAATACCATATCTCAGAAATACAAGAAATGGACTTTATTCTCATGTACCTGTTTTAGTCGTAATTCTGGTTATAGTCCTAAAGCAACTACCTGTGGTATCTAGCCAAGTGATTTAAACTCTCAAGCCTTTGTTTCCTGATCAAAAACAGGGAAACTTAAAAACTCTCTCCTGGGATTATATATTTTAGCATAGAAGTAGGTGATACCTGTTAGATTTACATTGAATGATATGGTTCACAGCTAGAGGAGACTTGGCCACTCTGGGAACATTTGGTAGTATCTGAAGACTTTGTGTTGCAGCCAAGGGCTGGTTGTAGTTCCTTGCTTCTGATGTCAGTGGCTGAAGGCTTGGGATACTGCTGAATGTAGTACAGTACTACAGTGCACAGGACAGCTCCCACAACAAAGAATTATCCAGCCCATGTGTTAACATGGGCAAGGAAGGAAATGTGCATTTTGATGAAAAGAGACAAGATTAAATTCAAGTCTCTTTCATCCCTTGCTTAGTCTGGAGTTGCCTGTTTTATACTCAATTTCTTTACTTTACTTGTGGTGATTTTGCTTCAAAATGAATTTTTACTGATTTTTAGTTCTGCTGATGACTGTTTTCCATACCTTTGTTATTTTTATAATTAACTTTGATATCTTACATATTCTGAGAAAAAATGTTTCCATCATAAGAATCAGTAGATTTTTTTCTTGGGTGGGTACTTGTCATTTCCTAAAACACTCATAAGCTATCAAGAATCCAAACAGGGAACTAGAAACCTAAGAGATGATTTCAACAAGCAGAACTTTCTAAGATTAATACTTGCACAGCCTCAGTATCTTTCCATTTTTATTTTCTAATAATTAAGAGATTTCTTTGATTTACCTGAAACTATGCAAATTTACTTGTACTTATACCAATATCCTGATATCAATTCTATAAAGTCCAAGGTACTCTGAAATTAATATATTTACTGATATGCAAACATATTGTACTCCTGGCAGAATGTTGTAAAGAATATGTTGCTCTAAATAAGTCTAACATGGCAAACATCTTTGCTCTTTAGGATTTAAAGTGGTTCGTGCTCATTTTCTTTTTCTGTAATTAATACTTCTCATTTGTGAAACTTACCTGAATTATTGTATTTGAAAATACATAGTTTTGGCTGGCGCCGCGGCTCACTAGGCTAATCCTCCACCTTGCGGCGCCAGCACACCGGGTTCTAGTCCCGGTCAGGGCGCCGGATTCTGTCCCAGTTGCCCCTCTTCCAGGCCAGCTATGGCCCGGGAGTGCAGTGGAGGATGGCCCAAGTGCTTGGGCCCTGTACCCCATGGGAGACCAGAAGTACCTGGCTCCTGCCATCCGATCAGCGCGATGCGCCGGCCGCGGTGAACCAACGGCAAAAGGAAGACCTTTCTCTCTGTCTCTCTCTCTCTCACTGTCCACTCTGCCTGTCCGGATATAATAAGAAATAAATAAAGAAAAATAAAAGGAAAGAAATACATAGTTTAGAGCAACATCATTCCTGAATATCCTATGAAATAAAATTTTTAAAACCATGGATGTTTATCTTGAGCTCCATGATAGGTCAATTTAAAATATAAACATTTGCAGTTTTTATACAATAACCTCTTTAAAATAAAATTCATAGAAGTATCTTGGTTGCAAAGACTATCTGATACCGTGTAATCTTCCCAATGCTCTAAATGCCAGTAAAGCCTAGGTGTTACATGAAAAGGAAGAAATATCTGCTACTTTAGGTCTAAATTCGAAAATAGCTTAAAATATTGTTATGGGGCGATGTAGTGATGATTATCTCCTAAGCATACCTGTTACATAAAGTGATTATATAGAATACATCATTGAAAAGTGGAATCTTCAATTGCTTGGCTGTAAAATTCTAGCAGTATATTATATGCTTTTCTTAGCAGAAGGGAAAAAACGCTTGTGTATATTATAGGTCTACATTTTCAAAACTCTTTGGTGCGATTGTACCCTTTAAGTTTAATATTTGTTGGTAAGATGTACAAATTTGTTCTCTGTGCCTCCCCTGTGTGCCACTGAAATAATTTCTCCAAACAGGGGCAAATGTATATTATTATATCACTTCATGGGGTAAATACTCTTTGATTGCAAACAAGTGTTTTCAAGGTACAGTTTTAGAGCCTGTCTGAGAATTGGACCTTCTTCGTCTTAATTGACTGTAATCTAACGAGGGTCTGTGAAGTGTGTGCCCTTTGGCCAGTGTGGCATATTGAGGTGTGCTGCCAATTGAATCAATGCATACACCCAACATGTGCTCTCTTCACGCAGGGATTTGAGGCGGCTTGGAGTGACTCTTGTCGGTCACCAGAAGAAGATCATGAACAGCCTTCAAGAAATGAAGGTGCAGCTGGTAACCGGGATGGTGCCGTTGTAACTTCATGCTAATGTCACTTCTGAAAGTGAAAGAGTCTGCACTTTGTTAACTACCCTGAGAGCTATTTTATCAAAAAAGTAGAGAAAAGGGAAAGCAGTGATTCCTAAATGTTAGGAAAGAGCATTGGCCTTGGCCACAGTATTTGTAACCAATGTTTTCCTGAAATCTCCGTATCTTCCTCTCGGTTTCTTCAGTTTTCATGAAGCAGCCGAAACCTGTCTAGGATAAGACCATGATCTTAAACGTTAGGTTATAGCAAGAACATTCTTCCCATTTTACCTGAAATAGATGACTATATAGCACCTTCATAGACTGAACTAAGGCAGTCCCTTTCAAAACTTCCAGGGATCTACTTGAAAGGAAAAGTTTTATAGCCATTGGTGGGCTAAGAAAGCTGCAGTTCACTGAAGTTTACTTAAAGTCTTAATTGTCTACAGAAGTGTATTGAAGAGCAATATGATTAGATTCTTTCTTAATAGATATCTTCTTTTGTAATTTAAAAATGCTGTTACACAGCACTAAGTTATAGAAACTAGTGTATAAACATGTCACTTGGTGGAACAAGTACAAGTACAATACAGGGTGTATATTTATTTTTCTGTGTTATCAGATTTCCTTTTAGTTGCTCTTCTGGAGACTATTGGGTATACATGTGTATATACTGTATAATTTGCAATATATGCAGGTACTGATTTAAGTTGGAGTTGTGTATGTGTGCTTGCACATGTGTGCATTACCATTCTGCTTGCCTTTTAAATAGTATTTTAATTTTAGAAGTGTACAGGAACAAGTGTACAAGAGTGTAATATGAATAGGGGGATAAGGAAGCAATGAAAAGAATCTTTAACACAGGCTCGTGTCTCTTTTGCCTCTTCAGTGTCCAAAAGCTACTAATCTCTCCATTCACTAACAGGAAATGTCTGTAAGAGAAAATCCCCTTTGACTTTTTAAACACACTTTGTGTTATCTGTGACAATGCAGTTCTTCCAGCCATTAATCTTGCACCCTGTAAGAAATTTCACCTTTCTGAGTCCCAGAAAATATCTTGTCAGGCAAAGTTGACACTGAAGGGCACATTTTCAGCGGGATGTAGAAGGATTTAACTTTGCAGGCGTCTGTTAATGTTGTTAAATCCAGACACATAGCACTAAGCATCACCCTCAAGTGTTAATCCTTTGTATCCATTTCCATTGTAGCTCAGCTCGAGAAAAGTTGATATTAGGGCAGCAATGAAATGATGACCACTTTCTATATATAGTTTTTTTTTTCCTTGAGAATTTTCTGTTTCATGTTTTGACAAGTTTCATTTGTTGATTCTGTTCATTGGCTAATTTTATTTTGTGTCGTTACATGGTATTGAATTTATTTGGATGAACCAGTTTGAAGTTATAATGAATTAGACTTATCAGAGTATAAGACCTGTCACATATACTCTGTATACCACAGCAGGTAAAGATATATTTATGGCACACATTCCACAGCTTATTGGAAATTGTACAAACCTCTGTTCCTTGGTGAGAAAACCAACATTTTTGTGCTATCATACTTTATATACATCTTGGAATGGTATGTGGTTATTCAGAGAACAGAGTATTTATGTAAATTGTAGTCTCCTCATGATTAGCAATGACAGTAGAATATCAGAGCAGCCTGGATTAATGAACTGTGTAGGACATATGCTAGTATTATATTAATGCCACTTTCACCCAAGCACTTGTTTTACTTGAATGTTAGCAAATATAAGAATAAACTTCTTTCTATCCGACTCACCCTTTACTTAAGCAGTAAAGTAGCTCTTTGCTAAGGAACAATGAAAAGCCAAACTGACAGTTACCACAAAAAAAGAAAAAAAAAGAAATTGGATGAATTTTCAAGTGATTGTTAACAGTGCTGAAAAGTACCATGGGCCCTCAGAGACTATGTTCTAGCACTGCAATGATGTTTTCAGAGAAAGCTGACAGCAGTGTGTTGATAAACTCACAAGTAGGTGTCACATTATTAAAGTTGCATTTGTTACTTCAGTTAACAGAAAATTAAGGAAACTAATTCCTTTTGTATAAATAATTGGAGATTGTGTTGCACATTACAGAATTTTGTTAGAATTTTTTAATTCCACTGATAAAGTAACAATTGAGCAACTTCAAAATAAGAATAGACTTAGTGATTTAAAAGGAAAACATTTTTACAGCTGGTGGACTAGCTGCAAATGCTTAGACATAACAAAGATATTTTCTAAATTGTTTCCTAACGTCCTCTGTGCAGAGACAGTTGGAGGGGTAGGGGAAAATTTGAGTGACCACAGTTTGCAGTTATAATGTAAGTTTCCTCTTTCCCAGAGAGGAAGAATATAAATGAATTTCGATCAAATGTATTTGCCTGCTTTGAAATTCTGGTGTTCATTGTGGAAAATAATTTGAAATTATAGCTCCATATCCACACAGCTTTCAACCATATCTCCATCTGTTTGAGAATTTCTAGGGGATGATACTTCTGAATAAGGTGTACATTCCCTCCCAAAAGAGGAAAGAATGCCTTTCTAAAACATTTGATCACTACTGGATATTTCACCAATTGGAAAGCGCCCGTCTCATCTATAAATATGAGAAATGGAACAAGTAGAGGAGGAGGCCCTTGTGCAGTATGGTGAGGCAGTAACCCAGGGCAAGGCCTGACCGATTTGATTGTGTGATTTCTTATGCTGTTGGTTCATCTTGTTATCCACAATACTACAAAAAATATTGCATTGATAATTTTAGCACATACTGTAGATTTGTCAAATAACAGATAACGTTATGGTTATTGTCAGTAGCAAGAACTGTAGGGTGTCAGTCTTTCTCATTGTTGGACTCTAAAAAATAGGTACAAGCAGGGAATCATCTTCAACTTACTAGTACCTGATAAAGATGCTCAGTTACTACTTTATCAATCATAATTTGTTTCTAATCCTGCTATTTCCTTACATGTACTATGATATCTAGTCATTTACTCTTTCTGAAATGTATCAATTATATGTAAAAATGTAGATTTTAATTTTCCCATTTTAAAAATTTTAACATGCATGGTCTTTCATTTCTTATATTTTTTTTTACCATGTCAGTGTTCTAAAGCTGTAGGATTACTGTAAAATTTATATTCTGAAATATTATCTAAACTTGTGTGGCCAACACTATTAGTTTCAGTGTTCCCTAACCAATACCAAACATCCTTAACTCAGTTTGCAAAAGAGTTTTAAACAGTGTGCAATGGTGAGGACACAGTTTCTCATCTCAAGTTCAAAATGGAAAATTAGTATAGTTAAGCACTTACATGTTTGTATATCTGCTATTTAATCTCTACATGAAAGTTAAATATTTTCTACTGCCATTCTTTCTTCCATTTAAAGTGGGTTATTGGAAGCACAAGCAGAGATATTTACATTGGACAATGTTTTGGCTGTAATGGTGCATATGACTGGCAAACAGAGTTTGAGTCAGGTGTTAAGAATTTATTGGATGTGTGTTGTTGTGTAATAGAGTAAGAATAGTTTACTGTCTTATGTCCTGCTTGATGTTTAACCTCAAAGTAAACAAAATGCTAACTTGATTTAAATTTAATAATTAGAATAAGTCATCATGTTCCCAACTCTGGCACAGAAGGTTACATTGGATATTTTTTCTGTTATGCTGTTAATTTCATAGTAATGTATAAAATGATAATAATTTTATTTTTATTTCTTGTTCATTTCTTTAAAAAAAGTTCTTTTCAAATGTAAATTGTTGAATGTTCTTTTTCAGAAGGACCATGCAATTATAAATTAGGAGAACACACCAATTGAAAGTCTATCTATGATAATCAG